AGTATCATGTAATCATCCTCACAAGCAAATTGATTAAATGTGCCATCATGTAATTATCATCAAAAATTTATCATCATGAATCATCAAATTGACCATATGATATAATGTGCCATATCATGAATATTATTATACATTTGTGGACGTATATATATGTATATGTATACGTCTGTGAATCATTCTACAATTCTAGCGTGGTACCACTCAGCGGTTTCGCTGAGCGTGTAGTTTGTATTTTTTTTCGTTGACTACACGTAGGTAACAAGAAGACAATGATGGAACCATTCCCGTAGGGCATTGAGTCAGAGGAGATGCAAGGATAGCAGGCAAATGTTTGACCAACATATTTTAAAATATGTCATGATTTGATTATTATTGTACTTCCGCATTACTCTGAAAATATTTTTAAATGGGTCGCGATCCAGAGTCTGTAAATTTAATATTTATAATAAATTGTCATTGTCAAATGTCAAGCGAAATTTTTATTTAACTCTCGTTTCACCTTAATTCGTATAATTCCGGGTTATACGGATTGGGGTGTTACATTTTGGTATCAGAGCAAAACGATTTTTGGATAATTGAGTCAGTAATATTTTCAAGTCCTGCATCCGCATCCTCCGCGACATCTCTGCCCCGGGAAGGTAATCAACAAGTAAGTTACAATAGCATAACACATATGCTTAACTCATTGAAAGTTTACTTCTTGAGTTGTTAATATCTTCATAGACCCGATTGCAATAAAGTATAAATTGCTTTAGAATATTTTCAACAATCATAGTCGACATCAAAAGATGAAGAAAGGAACTGTAAACCGGATAAGCACGACATATACGTATGTCATAGTATGCGAATAGCTAAGCAAACAATGTGAATCAACTTCTATCAAGCCGAAGAATACGTCAAAGAAAGAACGTTCTCAAATAGGAAGTGAATATATTCCCCAAGAGTGAACCTATCGTTTTCTAAGAACAAGAATAAAGCCTCACAAACCAGATGGAATATGGCATATGTATCGAATCTGAAATGCATTATAGGGGTGAATCTACATACAACCATTAAGATAAATGAGTCATTCGTATACCCTATTGACGCAAAAAGTCATAACAAGATGAAAGTACAAAACAAGATGTGAAACAGTCACACCAACAATGAGAGACTGGTAGATAAAGAAAAGGATTAATAATTACTTGGTACATTTTAATGTTAGAACTAAATATTCTTCTGAAATGCACTGGTCATGCAGCTTAGAACGATATTTATGACTAACACATAATGTACATAGACAATATTATTTCAACTAAGAAATATTACAGATGCAACTCTAAGTCTAATCTTCCAGGATTCGCAAACTCATCATAACTAGCACCTGGGAAAGCATTAGCAAACTCTAGCTTTTCCAAAAGCTCATCAACAAAGAAAGAAGAAATAAACAGTTTCCTCTGATTCAAAGCAATGAAGTTCTGCCTCACCGCATCATCTAGAAACTTGATTAGGTTATTGAAATAACCGTCAATGTTCAAAAGACCAATGGGTTTACTGTGTAACCCTTCGGATGCCCATGAGATCAAAGTGAATAAACCTTCCATAGTGTCAATTCCTCCAGGAAGTACAATGAAGGCTTCCACAATATGATTCATCTCGAAATACTTATAGTAATTGCTAGAGACGGTGTACTCTGCACCATATGTTGGTCCATAGACCCCTTGTGTCGCTATATACCCTGGTATGAAACCTCCGACTCTACCACCATTGTTATAGACTGTTGAAGCTACAGCTCCTTGAAGGCCAACATTGCCTCCTCCGTAGGTAAGCCTGATTTTTCGCCTTACCAATTCTCGTCCTAGATCAACCGATGTAGCCATGAACTTTGGATTGCTACCTAAAGCATGACTACCAAGTAGACCAACGAATCTTATGGTATTAGGAAGAGCTCGAGAAGTTACTTCCATAATGTGAGAATGTGAGATTTCTTGCCACAATTTGATATATATAGACTCTGGAATAGGACCATTGATGGAAAGGTAATTATCACGAGCCCAAAAACGTACAGGAAAGTGGATTCGTTCCAGACAAGAACGTACTCGCCAATACTGCAGTCTGCTGACGGCATGACATATTGAGACTCAGGAATAGTTAGGCTCATTATCCTAAAATACATTCAAATTCGAGACGAAAAGTCGAAATGACTATTTACCTAAGACAATGACGACCCCTTGAGTAACTTCGAAAGAGTGAAACATTAAAGGATGAAAACTTACTATTTGCCATGATAATATAATTCACAAACGTTATATTCGTATCTTGTGATCTATATCCTCGAAATACTAAAACTTACTATGTTAATTACACACTTAAAGCATCTCATTTGATCAATCTTGAAAAGATTGAATTCTATATTGTTTTAAAAATAATTAAGAACTTTTTTTTAAACTCATAATTTCCCATCAAACCAAAAAGATGTTTTATGATACCGATCTTCAAAAAAATCACGCATGTGTCTATAGAATCCCAAACATGTTAGAATATGACTATGTGTATAATTTGTCATGTTTTAGTAATAAGTAATTTAACTATTGTGTGATGAATATTAGTGATATGACGAATACACTAATATTATAATTTTCGGGCACGAAGCTCTATCATAATTATTGAGAAAGTTGGAAATTCCAAGGTAATTCTGGAATTATCAATAAGAAAATCAGTATTCAAAAATGACTACATATCATATTGATAATACAAACAGTGACCAAATAACAAGTGTTATCCAATGCGTTTATCCAATCATTACAATGTGATAAAAACATATATTATTGTTATACATAAGTGTGATATGCATGTTTACGGTTATAGGCATGCATAAGCCATGTGAAATCAGATTGTTGACATTACGGATCGCTAATGAAAGTTCAAGTTTTGAAACTATAATTACATATTCATCAAAGAAACCTAGAATGATGACTATGGTAATAGTCATTTTCCAAAATACCCTTATGTAACAACATCAAACCTAGAAGCAATTCATTCCAGATTGTACACAATGAAGCGTAATTTGTGAAACCAACATTCTAGACAAACTCTGAGAATGATTCTCAAAGAATTTTCAGAAACGGAAATTTTGTAAATTACCCCACATTCACGAAACGCAACCCATATAAGCATTCCTGAAACTCCTACAACACAAAAGAGCAAGTCTAAAGATATATATTCGACGCAAGTCTCCGTGAGAGAAATCCAAATACGTTACATTTATCATCCACGTATATTCTTTCTCAAAAGAGAAAATGTCATACTCATGACACTCAACAAAAGAAAGAGAAAACAACTTTTCAAAATTTGTGTTTTAAAAAAAATATTAAGGAATATTCATGATTTTGTACATCATCATTTTAATTGACTTCACCTAAGGAAATTTCGGGGACGAAATTTCTTTAAGGAGGGAAGAAATGTAACGCCACAAAATATGGCCTAAAATTTATTATAAAACAAAAGTAGTTTTTATCTAATAAGGAATATTTGTACGTTTGACTAAAAATAAATGGATTTTCAAAATAATGACTTTTTGTTAAAAAGTTATATTTATGGATATGTCTCGAAGAGACGAATCCAGCGGTACATTTTATAAACCAATCTAATTTGTAGATTTCAAGTTATGTCAATTTTAAATAGTAAAATTTGTAACTTTGACCCATAAAATAAACTAAATTCAAAAGTGATTTCATCA